ACTATTGAGCTGCACCTAAACAGAGTACCAGTACCAGGATCTCTAGCTATTGTTGCAGGAACATTTATCTGTATTCCAATTCTTTCAGTATTTGTTTTAGATACATTGATGGTTTATTATTAGATATAGTCATGTATTTTTTTGTGATAACCACTGATCTTCAAGATAAACGTTTTCAAAAAAAAAAAAAAAGCCAGGTGGTGGTGGCGAATGCCTTTAATCCCAGCACTTGGGAGGCAGAGGCAGGCGGATCTCTGTGAGTTCGAGACCAGCCTGGTCTACAAGAGCTAGTTCCAGGACAGGCTCCAAAACCACAGAGAAACCCTGTCTCAGAAAACAAAACAAAACAAAACAAAACAAAAAACAAGATAAACGTTTTCTTTAAGAGGCAAAGGTAGCAGAATTGAAAGCTCAAAGCCAGCCATGGCTAGTGGCAAACACCCATAACCCCAGCACTTGGGAGTTGGAGGAAAGAGAGTTAGGTGTTGAAAGTCATTTTCAGCTAGCTACAAAGTCAGTTTAGGTGACTTAAGACCCTGTCTCTTAACTAACCAGATGTGGTGGAACAAGTCTTTAATCCCAGCACCCAGAAGGCAGAGGGATCTCTGAGTTCAAGGCCAGCCAAATCTACAAACAGCCAGGGCTATACAAAGAGAAGACCTTCTCAACAAAAGAAAACAAACAAAAACAAAACCCAACCACAAGTCCTGAAAGAGTTGCTTATTCTCGTGTGCCTTGTAAACATGTCACCTGCTCAAAAGTTAGTGCCTTCTAATTTTCTACTGTGCAAGCAACATGGAGATTGTCCCCAGCTGTCCTCCTGTTCTTTCCTGTTTCACAATACTCTGTGAAAACAACTTAGAGGAAATCTGGAATGCTCAAAGGCAGTGGCAGTTGGGTCTGATGAAACACATCTATAGCCCTAGCTTGGCCAGAATGTGCAGTGTCCTAGGTGCAATCCTGAGGGCTGCAGAAACAAAAACAAACAACTACAAGCCGGGCATCATTTTAGAACGTCCAGCTGGTGGGCTAGAGAGATGGAATCAAAGGTCAAGAGCACCCCCATACATGGCAACTCACAACTGTCTGTAACTCCAGTTCTAGGAATCTGACACCCTCACACCAAATGCACATAAAATTAAATGTCAAGCTGTATTGACTCATATAATAGCCATGATCATGAGGACAGTTCAAAATATGTTACGGTTTCAATGTATATGTCTCTCCAAAATTTGCCCATTAGAACTTAAATCTCAGGGTGATGGTGTTTAGAGAGGAAGCCTTCCAGAGATAACAGTCGGTCACTAACTTTTTACAAACAAATCATCTTGGTAAAGATTTGAAAAACTAGAATTGTGTTTGGCGTGGAGTGAGCAGCTATTTGGGACTTCGAGCCAAAGTAAAGATTTATTTTAATTGCATTAGATCATGCTTTATTGTAAAGTTCAACTTTAATTTTATTTTATTTTATGTGTATGGTTGTTTTGCCTGCATGTATATCTGTGCGCCACTTGTATATCTGGTGCTCAAGACCAGAAAAGGGTATCAGATCCCCTAGAACTGGAATTATACGTGATTATAGGCCACCATATAGATTCTAGGAATTGAACCTAGGTCTCTAGAAGAGTAGTCAATGCTCTTAAGTGCTGAGACATCTCTCCACTCATTATTAATTAGGATTTAATTACTCAATAATGATGATGCCAATGTTATTCAGCAAAATAAATGTCCCAGAAGGCAGCAACATAAACTACAGGCTATCTGTTATTCAGATGCTAAATTGATGGTTGATGTGGGAGTGTCATATATCAATCTGTTGATTTCATTGGTTAATTAAATAAATAAACTGCTTGCCCTGATAGGTAAAAACATAGGTGGGAGGAGTAAACAGGAGGAAGAGGAAGTGAGCTCAGACCCCCACAGCTCTGCTCTCTGGAGCAGAGACACCAGGCACCGCTCTCCCAGGCAACTCCAACCCAGGATGGACGTAGGCTAGAATCTTCCTGGTAAGCGCACCTTGGGGTGCTTACACACATTATTAGAAATGGGCTAAATTAATATGTGAGAATTAGCCTAGAAGAGGCTAGATATAATGGGCAAGCAGTGTTTAAAAGAATACAATTTGTGTGTTGTTATTTCGGGCATGAGCTAGCAGGCGGCCTGGGTGCTGGGGACGCAGCCCAGCCGCTCCTGTTTCAACAGATGGTAGTTGTTTTTTTTTTTTTTTAGATTTATGTGTACAAGTGCTTTGCTTACATGTATGTATGTATGTGTACCACATGCATCCCTGGTGTCAAAGGGATCAGAAGAGGGCAGCAGGTCCAGTTGAACTGGACTTACTGATGGTCGTGAGCCACCATGTGGGTGCTGGGAACAAAACTTAGGCCTTCTGCAAAAGCAGCAACTGTTTTTTGTTTTTTTTTTTTTTTAAGATTTTTATTTTTTTATGTGCATTGGTGTTTTGCCTGCATGTAAGTCTGTGTGAAGATGCCAGATCATCTAGAACTGGAATTACACAGGTGTGAGTTACCATGGCTGGGAATTGAACCTAAGTCCTCTGGAAGAACAGCCAGTGCTCCCAACCGATGAGCCATCTCTCTAGCCCCACAAGTGTTCTTAACCGCTGAGTCCCGATGGTATTGTTTTCATGAACGGTTCCATAACCAAGGGCTGGGAGCCGGCTCATGGAATTCAGCTTTCTTGGGCAGACAAGCAAATGAAGGAGCAGAGATCTGGAGGGCAGATAGAACGCATCCAGCAAGCCCACCAATACTTTCAAGAGTAGTTTATTGAAGTGCATTGGAAATCAGGTGTCATGGTGTAGGCCTTTTAATTTCAGTACTCAGGAGAATGAAGCATGCGAATCAGTGAGATACCAGCCTGGTCCATATAACAAGTTCCAGGCCAGCCAGACCTACAGAGACTCCATCTCAAAAAAAAAGAAAGACATTGGAAGTTGGAAACTAGTGAAGCATAAGTGTAGTAGAACATGTACTCAGCATGCTTATGCCTAAGGTCCAGGGTTTAGTCTCTAGCATCAACCCCTCCCCCCAGAAAACATTGGGAGAATATATAAAAGTATAAAACAGCTAGAAGCTGGAGAGATGGCTTAGTGGCTAAGTATTCCTCTTCCAGAGGACCCAGGTTAAATTCTCAACATCCACATGTCAGCTCACAACTGTAACTCCAGAACTAGGGTATCCATCACTTTCTTCTGGGTTCTTCTGACACCAAGATATACAGGTAGACAAAACACCCACTCACATAGAATAAAGACACTCAGATCTAAATTTTATAACTAAAAAATTAGCAGTGATAGTATTTGGGTTCAATTCCTAGCACCCACATGGTGACTCACAAACATCCATAGGCACATAGAAAGTGCACATGCGAGTACACAGGAAAAACACACACATAAAAATAACTGGGGCTGGAGAGATGGCTCAGAGGTTAAGAGATCTGACTGCTGTTCAATTCTGGGTTCAATTCTCAACAACCACATGATGGCTCACACCCATCTATGATGAGATCTGGTGCTCAGAACACTATATACATAATAAATAAATTTAAAAAAATTATTCTACTTCAAGGTTTTGTGAGCTGGCCATGATGGCACACACAAGTAATAGCGTAATAGCGGCATCTGTGTTGCAGAAGGCACAGACATTCAAGGTCATCTTTGACTACAGAGGTCAACTTGAACTGACTGAGACTTCAAAAGAAATTAACTTACTCGGGAGGCAGAGGCAGGCGGATCTGTGAGTTCGAGACCAGCCTGGTCTACAAGAGCTAGTTCCAGGACAGGCTCCAAAGCCACAGAGAAACCCTGTCTCGAAAAACCAAAAAAAAAAAAAAAAAAAAAAAAGAAATTAACTTAAAAATGATGTGCAGCATGACTATTGTGCTAGATATTTGTAAAAAGAAAAAAAGATGTGCAGGATGGGTGTGGTGGCGCATGGCAGACACCTTTAATCCTAGGACTTGGGAGGCAGAGGCAGGATCTCTGTGAGTTTGAGACCAGCCTGATCTACATACTGAGCTCCAGGGCAGCACAGATACACTACAGATAAAGACCTTGCTTCAAAGCACCCCCCCTCCCCACAAAAAACTCTGATGTATAATAAAAACCATGATGTACACACTCAACACAAGCATTTTAAGCTAGGAATGGTGGTTGATGCCTGCACTTGAAGCACTTAGGATCCTGACTCCCAGATCAAAGAGCTGGGACAAATCTCCAAAGAACAAAGGAGGGTGGGGAGCAGGTGTGGTAGTACAGACCTGTATCCCTAGCATTTGGGAGGTAGTGACAGGATTTCCAGAAGTTCAAGGCCATCCTCGCCTAGGCAGAGTTTGAGTGGAGGGAAGCTGTGAACTGTACCCAGGGCTCAGGTTAAACAAACACTTTGCCACTGGGCTATATCTGCAACCCTTTTCGCATTTTTTTTTAAATATTTATTTATTTATTATGTATACAGCATTCCTTCCATGTATGTCTGCAGGCCAGAAGAGGGCACCAGACCCCATTACAGATGGTTGTGAGCCACCATATGGTTGCTAGGAATTGAACTCAGGACCTTTGGAAGAACAGTCAGTGCTCTTAACCTCTGAGCCATCTCTCCAGCCCCCCCTTTTCGCATTTTTTAATTGGACGTGAGATCTGGCTAAGTTAGACACAAACTCATTCAGCAGCAAAGGCCAGGCTTTTGGAGTCCTCAGCCCCCTAAGTAGCTGGGATTACAGGCATCAGGCACAGGATGGGCTTTATCCTATCACCATTGATAGGATAAAGAAGCACCAGGCAAGACCCCTAGCTGCTTTGGGCAAAACCAGGCCAGTCAGGTCCTTCCTAGGTAATTCACTCACTGTAGAATGTTAACTTCTGCTTAACCACTGCTTAACCACTGTCTAGATGCCATCACAGTTCTAAGACTCGCTTTGTTTGCCCGATCTTTTAAAAACATTAGCTTCAAATATGAAAAGACAAAAAGAAGCAAAGAACAAGTTAAAATGAATGTTTAATGCACCTGCAGGACAAGAGGTACAGCAGAATCAGAATTTGTGATCGACATTGATGTTGATGTTACATTTTTCAAAGAAGTTCCCTCTAGTTCCTTCTTTTCCAGGTTCCTTAGCACAATAATGACTCTTAAGTCTCAGCTCTCCACCGTGTTCGTCAGTAATTTCATCTTTCACACCTCATTCCATCCACTGTACTGGACACTCAAGTACGAGAGCCCACAGGAACCAAAAGAATGCAAAGGCCCAAGGACTCCACGTTCTGAGTGTCTGCTCACACAAACCTTCTGTTTATTCTTATTAGTAGAAATGAAGCTACTTTAATGAACAAGAAACTCGGTGCGGTCATTAAATATGACTACTTACACTTTAAATATAAATACATGTTCTTCCTGATCAGCATCAGGCAGATAGCTAAACTGCTTATCTATACTCCTGGTCTCAGAGAAAAAAGTCAAGAGACAAAGAAGGTGCTTCATATTATCGGGTCCATTTGAAAACAGCTGAGGGCTACAGGAAAACCACACTAGTTTTTCTTCTTCTCAGAGACTTCTGTTGCTCCTTTTGTGGGTAATCCATTGATATCTGCACCCTAAAATGACAAAAAAAGAAAATAAGAATTATTAGAAGGAAAAGAAACTGATTTTAAGAGATATTCTTTGTAAAAGCAGACAATAAACTTCAGAATGAAACGATTTTGCTTTCAGAATCACGCTGGTTAATTAACACAGCTGAACAAAGCCAATTTAACAGGCACTAATGCTGAAGACAGAAGCGGTCTAAATAGTCCCTTTCAAAACAGCCTTCACACTGGGCCTGGGTACGTAGCTCAGTGGTAGAGCGCTGATCTGGCGGGTTTCAATTCCCACATCAGGTGGGGGAAAGTAAGTTCCTCAAGCAAAGCCATAGGCAAAAGGACAAACATGTTACTCAGAAGTCTGGTCTAAAATCTTCTGATTACTAAATTACTAAATAATTGAGACAAACAAATTAAAGCTACCAGTTCTAGCAGCTCAAGCTTCCAAAAGCCAAGGGTTACCCAGGTGCACCCTTCCACCCGCCTTTCCTCAGGCATTTGAAGGGTCTTACCTGGCAGTCTACTTTGCCTATATTTTTACCACTGGATTCTTGTACAGCCTTTTTAGGCCATATACGGCTGATGACGGGGGAAACCAGCGGGTAGATGTACGGCTCCAGGAACTTTTTGAAGATCCAGAGCAGAACTGGAATGACGATACAAGGAATGCACACCATTGTCCCAGGCTTGATGTCCGAAACTGCGGACAGAAGAATCAGCTCACTGTAGATTAGTGATAGAAAGGCTTTATGGAAAGTACTCTTTCTACAGAGATGGGGGCATGGGCAAAACTATATGCTGAAGGCAAAGCTTTCTAAACCCAAAGGCTGCTATCTGCCAGGTAAAGGAACAAGTGAGCAAACATGAACAGCTGAGCTGGATGCCAGCATCCAATTCCAATCATTTTGCTGCCTCAAAGATCTCACGACAAAAGGAAAGTTGGGTGGATAAAGGTGCCTGCCTCCAAGCCCGACAACAAATACCCAGAACCAAAACAGGGAAGACAGAACCAACTTCAGTTACTTTGACCTCTAACATCCACAGGCTCACCATGGCATGGGTATGCCTACATGATAAATAAAAACGCAATCAAATGACTTTTAAGCATTCTGACAGTATGTGCTATGCACTTTATGTCTACTCCTGCAAGTTGTCCCCTGACCTCAACACAGGACAGCGGAGCGGCTCCCTCTCCCATGCATACATATACAAAAAAAAGTAAGTAGTAATAAAAAAATATATATAGCCAGATATGGTTGTACCTGTCTTTAATTCCAGCATTTGATGCCTATGAGCTGGAGGCCAGCCTGATCTACCTAGAGAGTTCTAAGACAGTCATCAGGACTACATAGTAGGAGGGATTTGCTTTTGCTTGGCTTTTTTTCTAAAGGAAAACAATATTATTTATACTCAAATATGGAGTGCACTCAGTGTGAATTATATCAGGAACTAACAATGGACCAGGTAGTTGTGGCACAAGCCTTAAATCCCAGGAAGAGGTGAATGTATCTCCGTGAGTTCGAGGCCAGCTTGGTCTACAAGTTCCAGGACAGGATCCAAAGGTACAGAGCAACCGAAGCTGGGCGATGGTGGCACACGCCTTTAATCCCAGCAGAGAAATCCTGCCTTGAAAAATAAAAAATAAATAAGAAAGAGAGAGAGAATATGCCTTGATAAGATCAGGCTGTAGACAAGCCTGTAGACTTTATTAATTAGCAATTGGTGGGGGAGGGCCCAGTCCATTGTGAGTGGTGCCATCCCTGGAATGGTAGCCCTGGGTTCTATAATTTAAAGCAGGCTGGCAAGCCATGAGGAACAAGCCAGTAAGCGGCACCCCTCCATGGCCTCTGCATCAGCTCCTGCCTCTAGGATCCTGCCCTGACTTTCTTCAGTGGTGAGCAGCAGTGTGGAAGTGTAAACCCTTTCCTCCCAAGCTGCTTTGGTTATGGTGTTTCATCACAGCAATAATAACCCTAAGATAAGTATTATTATACAATTATATTGTTCATTTCTAAAAGTTAATACTTCTAATATTCTTTTTATTTTTTGGACAGAATCTCTCACCATGTAGCCCTAGCTGGCTAGAACTCTACTTTCAGGCCTTCCTCTGCCTCTCCAGTTCAGGGGTTAAAGGCATACACCAACACAGTCAGCCCTTCTTAACGTTCTTGCTAATTAAAAATCATATTGACAAATCTGATTCTGAAAATCAACTATGTCTTAAAAGAGATGACACTTGTTCTATGATATCAAAGGATCTCGTAAACTTCCAAAATAAATTAATCTCAGGACTAGGACTTCAGGATAGAAAATTATTCTAATTTTATTTGTTAATGTGACAGACACCCCGACAAAAGCAACTTAGGGAAGAAACGGTTTGTGTTACTGCAGTCCAAGTTAGTAGAGTACTGTGGGAAAGTTGAGGGGGAAACTTAAAAACATAGCATCTACAATTAAGAGCAGAGAAACAGGGCGGTGGTGGCACACACCTTTAATCCCAGCACTTGGGAGGCGGAGGGAGGCAGAGGCAGGTGATTTCTGGGAGTTCAAGGCCAGCTGGTCTACAGAGAGAGTTCCAGAACAGCTGGGGCTACACAGAGAACCCTGTAATAGCAGAGAGGAAAACACAAGGATGCTTGCTTGCTCGCTCTGCTGCTGGCTTTCTCCTCTTACCCTGTTGAGGACCCCCTGCCTAGGGAATTTTGATGCCCGCAGTGGACTAGGTCTTCCTCCACCCTTTAACGATGGAAATAATCACTAACAGACATGCTCACAGGCCAAGCAATCTGGATCATTACTCATTCAAATTCTTCTCAGGTAATTCCAGGTTCTTCCAGGTTAGTATTTAAACTAAGCAGCACAAGGACCTTATAAAGAAGTTTCAGAACAATACTCAATGACGTTAACTTTTCTGATTTTCACAATATTATCGGGGAAGTAGCACTGATTGTCGGATGACTCAGCACCAGACGCACACTTTAAAGAGCTCACACTTCAGCTAAACAGTGTTATGATTCTTTTGAATGAGATTCTGAAAAACTCTAAGTATAAATCTACATCAAGGAACAACCAGCTATTTTATAAAGGACTCAATCAATTCTAGTCCAAATAACTTAAGAATTTATCCAAGTGATCTCTAAAAATTTCAAGAACACACTCCAATTTAAAAAGACAAACAAACAAATCAGCATTAAGCTGGGGGTGTAGTTCACTTGCCTGGCTCCTGCTAGACCCACGGTTCTTAACCTATGGGTCGCGGCGGCCCTTTCACAGGTGTTGCATCTCAGATATCCTGCATATCAGATATTTACATTATGATTCCTAACAATATCAAAATTAGTTATGAAGTAGCAACAAGACAATTTTACGGTTAGGGTCACAACATGAGAACTGAATCAGGGAGGTTGAGAACCACTGTGCTCTTCCCTCTGTGCAAGCAACACTTCTACAACGGGGAGTGGGCAGAGATGATTCTTCAGCATCTTTCCAGGAATCTGAGCTGGTGTCGCACAGGTCTAGGAGTCTTTAAAGGTACCTCGGCACAGCACCGACAGACTTCCTGGGGAAGCGCCTTGACTTGCATCACTTTCTAAAAGGTGTTCCTTGGAAAAATTACGGAACCGGATTACGTCTTAATTCCCTCATGAGGAAAATGACAGCACCGGGCTAACAAGAACGCGGTATGCACTGGACAGTGACTGGAGTATAAACCAGAAACCAAACAAAGAGGCCAGCCTGTGACCCCAACTATGTGGGAGGCTCATGAAAAGAGCTGCATAAATCGGCCCGGGCTACACACCAAGTTCAAGGTGTGAACAATTTAGGAAGATCCTATCTTAAAATGGAAAACAAAAGTTTAAAGTCAGGAGCACGCACAAAAGCTGGAACCTGTGCAAAATCAGAATTCCCGCCAGGAATGGTGGCTCATGTCTTTAAACCATCCCTTGGGAGGATGAAGGGGAGATATGTATGTGAGTTTTAAGTCATCAGGACTACTTAAAACAAAATAAAAATCTTTTTTTATCTTTTCCCCAATTTAAAAAAATTATTCGAGAATTTTACAACTCCTCGTCAGGTCCCTTTCCTATCATCCAACTTTGTCATTCATATTTTTTGAGTTCTATCTGTAGCTGGTTTAAATATTCCTACACGTTATGTTCTAAATAAAACCCCAAGAAACCATGCAGTAACTACACCACACTATTACTTATTAGATAAGGTCCCAATATGTAGCCTTGGCTGGCCTTGAACTTAAAGGGATGTACCGGCCTCTGCCTCCTTTGTGTGGTGATGAAAAGTATGCAGCAACCACTCCTGACTTCCATATTATAGTTCTTACAAAACTTTTTGGAGCTCTTTAAGTACAAAGCTAAAAGTATCGTCTCTTAATCCTAGTAAGTTATTTTTTGATAGATGTTTTATTCCATACTGTAGAAACTGCGGTGTACATGTCTAGAAGACGGCATAGTAGGCTACATTTTAACTACTATCCAAGCCATCAAAGAGAGCAAAATGGAATCTTTCACTCACCTTAGTCTAAGAGGACAATGGAAGTGACAGAGGAAAGGGCTAGGGATCCACCAGAACAGCCTAAATAGAGCCGTGAAGTCGCTTCCCTTGATAGAACCGAGAGGAACAGGGGAAACCACAGACAACGATCAAAAAGTAGAGAGGGAAAGGGACCAGAGGCTCAGAGGGAAGAGGCTCTCACCGTGCGGATCCAAGGATGAGAGCCAAACCGCCAGGGAAGGAAGGAAGGGACACCGAGGTCGATGGACGAGGACCGGACCGAGACGAGAGGCGAGGCGAGGCGAGGGCAGGGTACCGGCACACCGACAGAGACCAGGCGCGAGCTCCAACCCCACCAAAATCTCACCACCACCAAAACGCCCAGGGCAATGTCCGCACTTCCGGGAGGCTAGGCTGCTAACAGCCAATAGTACGTCGGATGCGTCAGACAGGGGACGCGGAGGACGTAACAGTGACGTACACAGAGCTCGCCGCCTGTCCGGAGTCGCGCCGTACTCTGCGTCTCCGGGTTGGGAAGATTGACACTATGGCCACCTGACTTGTTTCTAACCCCGGAAAAAATCTCTCCTGGACTGCAGAGGGCTCGACAGCCATAGGAAAGGCTATATAGCACATGTTCTTGGGCTCACATTTGCTTTTTTTGGTTTTCACACATGAAATACGTATCTTGAAATCATGACTCCCATGTTCCTGTCATCCTAGACGATGAGGCTCTGTACACACCTGGCAATTTAGACCTTTACTGGAGGGGTAAACGTAGAGCACACTAAAAACTGGATTGGGTTGTTTATAGCACTCAACCCAAGCTACTGACCATTTTACATGCACTGGGACACTACCGCAGATTAGTGTTGGTATGACTGGATTTGGAACCCTCACACACTACATTGCTGGCTGAAATACTTAAGTCTCCATCAGGCAGAGAGAGGTAGGATGACCTGATTTTGAGGCCAGCCTGGTCCACAGAGCGAGATCTAGGCCAGCCAGGGTAACAGAAACCGTTTGGCAATGTCAAACACATTAAGTGAGGCTATCTTACAACTTGGGGACATACCCAAGAGAAAAACCAAACCGTGCACATAAGAGGTTTGCAGGAAACACCACTGTTGCCAGAAAACAAGCTGGTCAACAAAATAAAACGTATTTCATGTGCTGCATCACAGAAAACTATGTAAGCCCTGGGTATTAACTCAGGTGGGTCAGGCTTGGTAGCTCCACCTTAATAATCCCTCCAGCTCAGTTCTTTAGGCAAGTCACAAACCTTGAAAAAATGCTTACAAAGGGAACCACACTAAGTGGATTCTTAAAAAAATAGTGCTAAACAGGCAAAAGCATACAGGAAATAGCTGAGGGACGTAGCACTGACAGGTATCCAGTACCTTCCAACCTTCTAAGCAAATGCATACCTTGGTAGTTTGTATTCCTAACAGATTTAAGCCCTGGCTACTTGGAAGGTCAAACCTGGATACACTGAATACCCTGTAATTCCCTTTTATAAAGCTTTAGATTTATAAGTCTTCCAGGTGCTTATATTGTATGGCTTCCCAAGGAGACAGTAAGAGGGTTATCAGAGGCCCTGGAGCTTGTGTAAGAGGTCATCGGGTCCTTTGCAGAAACAAACTGCTGACCCTTCTCTCTAGCCTAAAAAAATAATTTTTTTACATGCCTGTTTGTGCTGTCCTCAGAGGCCAGTCAAGGGCATTGAAAACTACTTAATGATATGGTCCCTCCCAAATCAGTTAAGACTTTAATCATGTCTTAGATGGGCAGTACACATGTAATCTAAATATTTTCTAAAATTCACATACTTTTATAGCTAAATATTTCGGTACTGCCCCTTCTAACAACTCAACTATTCTAAGCAGAATATTATAGCTCAACTAGGATTCACTGTAAAGATGTCCTTCCCCCCCCCCCAAGGCAGATTTATCACACACCCAAGATCTTGTATAAGAGTCTTCCAATGGGGGCTGGAGAGATGGCTCAGTGGTTAAGAGCATTGCCTGCTCTTCCAAAGGTCCTGAGTTCAATTCCCGGCAACCACATGGTGGCTCACAACCATCTGTAAAGAGGTCTGGTGCCCTCTTCTGGCTGCAGACATGCACACAGACAGAATATTGTATACATAATAAATAAATATTTAAAAAAAGTCTTCCAATGGAAGCTCTCCAGTAAATGCTAAACCAAAGTAGTCATTTTCCTATGGCCCAGTTGCTTTCCAACAGTCTGTTTCATTGCTTTATCACTTTAATAATAAACCTTTCATAAGGTTCAACACACCCCTCCCAACAATATTTATCTTGCAGGATTGATTAATAGGCAATCTGTAACAATGCATATATGAACGACCAGAAGACCTTTACTTTTATCTGCATTTATTTCATGTTGAATTTATTCCCGTGCCATAAGTTTTTGTTTCTTCAGTTTCTTCTGGGATATCTGAGAAGACAATGAAAAGGATCATTTTTTTCAATTAGCATTAATTCTTAAAAGGACTTAAATTCACACCTCAGGAAAGGTAGGAAAAGCTCAACTGGTGAACATCAGAAGGCGGTTCTCAGTTTGCTTACTCCCTCTTTAAGCCCATCAGGGAAAACAAACAATTCTATGGTTGGGGGTCAGCACAACAAGACTATTGTATTGAAGAGTCACTGCATTAGGAAGGTGAAGCATTGTTAGAGGGCAACACTTAAGAGCCAAAAGTCAAATTATCTAGTTGTAAAGAGGAAGTATTGTAGTGCAATAGCTAATCAGATCTAGTGTGACTACAGGTAACTCCCAGAAAAGCCACATTAAGTGGGTAAGAGGGCTGGTCAGAATAGGCTCCTTTCATGGTTATTACAAAGGTGCCTGTCTTTTTTAGTATTACCTAAAAATAAAACTGTGTGGCTCACCTTTTTCTTCTGTGCAACCTCCTCTTCTGGCTTTGGAACAATCTGTTCCTTCTCAGTGAGGATCATCTCGATGTGGCAGGGGGAGCTCATGTATGGGTTAATCCGGCCATGAGCTCTGTAAGTTCGTCGGCGCATCTTAGGTGCTTTGTTCACCTGGATGTGCTCAATGACCAGAGAGTCCACATCTAAACCCTGGAGTGGGGGGAAGAGTGAAAAAAACCAGACTAACATCTGTTTTGAGAAAAAGCTTCCAACCTAACTGGGATGACCTTGATCATTTGCTCCCTGTTTGGAGGCCTGAGTGCAGTGTCACTGTGTTAGGTAGGCTCCTCTCAGAGCCCACTTATTATACCAAAGAGATGGCTGAAAGCAAGCGATACACCAGATAGTGTCTAGCCTTCTGTCCTCTTACAGCACAAGCTATTTTTATCTTAAAAGTTATACAGCCTCACTACAAAAATCAAGTGTTCAAATGTAAAAGTAATGGCTATACCCCACCTCTAAATAGCTGAAACACCAAACAACACCCTCACCGTGCTTCTGAGCACTCTAGAGAAATTGTCACAACAAAGGTGCAAGACAAGAGCAATGTTTACCGCCCCCTCTAAAGAAACAAAGACATGTACATCCATTCCCATTATGTCACAATTACTGAATAGGATACTGAGTAACTGCACAACACACAAAGGACACAGTTACCTTCAGTTCAGCATTGCTCTCTGCATTTTTCAGCATGTGCAGCAAAAATTCTGCACTCTTTTTGGGCCACCGACCCTGTGTCCAGCCCCACTGTTTGGCCTGAAAGAAAAAAGGCAAACAGCTTGTTATTTTCCTTGGTAAGCAAGCACTGGACCCAGTTAGGAACATCTAGCCAACACCAAGGCTGCTCAGAACATGTTTTATTTCACGGTTAATCCAAAGGTGTCCTAAGATTGTCATCACAGCAACCAGACCAATTAAGGAGACTTCAGCCCTTCCTCACCCCCCCACCATTAAATCCATTTCTCACCTGGGCGCACCTACCGACTCCACCATTGTACCGTCGGAATGGCACACACTGCTTCTTCAAAGTGACATCTTTCAGATACTTGGTGGCTTTTCGGATATGCATACCCTTGATGGCCTGGGCCGTTTCACGGGTGTTCTAATTAATACAAGCCAGAAAGTTTTGGTTAATGTCAACCCACTGAAATTTTGAGAACTGGGGGACGAAACCACAGTAAATCACCTAAGCTCCATTACCCCACAATTAGTCCTATATCCCACAGTATTTCCTCAAGCATTCACACTCCAATGACCAACTCATAACAAAGGAGGCTGCTCAGAATGTGTTTGTTTTCATGGTAAATCCAAAGGTGTCCTAAGAACGTCATCACCGCAGCGACCTTGTAAAGACACGCAGGAGCAAATCACAATTCTGTATCAGGACCATGGGGTTTCCTTACCTTAAAGTGAACCCGAAGGTTTGATCCTCTCGATTTGCATGCTACAAAAAAAAAGGAAAAAGTCCATCTCTGCTGCATTAGGCACACACAACAAAAACCAATCGACAGAGTCGTGTCGGAACTTACATTTTGTAGGGTTTTCTGGGTCAAGAGAGTAGCGAACCATCTTCACGGGTCACCTGGGAACAGAACGTTACCATCAGCCAGTAACCAACACGTCTAAACCCTGAGTCGATAGATAACTGCCACCGGCTGCTCAGAGGAGAGTTATTTTCACGGTCAATCCAAAGGTGTCCTAAGAAACGACATCATCGCAGCCATCTTCTCCGTGCCGGTTTAACGCAGACCTACCCGCCGGCCGCTTTAATAAAACTGGCGGCCCGAGGCCGTGCACCATCACCCGCAGACCGTCTCCCCCATCGCCGCGACCTCCCCACGCACCCACGCCACGAGCCGCCCAGGGTGCAGCCCTGAGCTCAGATGAATGTGGCTCCCACCCGGCGCCCTCCTCGGACGGCACTCACCGCGGGCCCGGCCTCGGGCGCCCTGCTCGGCTCACCCCGTGCTTCCGCCGGCCGCGCCGCCCTCACCCCACGCCCGCCCCGCGGCCTGCCGAAGCCCGGGCCCGACGCGCCGCCGAGCCCCTCCGCGCGGAGCGCGGCCGCCTGTGGCGAGGACCCATGGTCCTGGGGAGCTCGGAGCCCCGGGGCCGCGATGCTGGCTCCCCCGACACCACGACGGCGGCGATGGCGGAGGATTCGCCCGAGAGCCCGACGCCGAGTAACGCTCACCTCTGGCCGCTTACAGGAAGAGGAAGTACAAGGGCTACTGGGAGAATTCATGAGACCTCGACCTCTCGCGATACTTCCGGCGCAAGCACGAGATCCGAGGAGAGGGCGGGCTGAGAAGAAAGGGAATGTGTGATGTTTTGGGGATGTCAGAAAAGAAATGCAACTTTAGAGACAGTCTCAAAATTCTCCCTTTTTAAAAAAAATTTCAAAAACAATATTTATGGCTTTTACGTATCAGTGAATAAAAACAGTCCTGAAGGGGCTGGAGAGATGACTCAGAGGTTAAGAGCCCTGGCTCCTCTTTCATTGGATCCGGGTTCAATTCCCAGCACCCACATGGCAGCTCACAACTGTCTGTAACTCCAGTCCCAAGGAATCTGACACCTTTACACCAACTCACATGAAATAAAGTTAAATAAATTATTTTAAAAAAAAAAAAACAGTCCTGAAGCATAGGACACAAATTACTGGGAATGAACTAGAAATCTAGCTATTTTAATTGTCCGATTTGATTTTGTCAACATGGACCCTCTAAAAGGCTTTATAACTGGACGGTTAGAAAGACCCGAGCCAGTATGGCTAAGCTAGCTTTTAATTTCAGTACTCGGAAGGTTGAGGCAATAACCCCACCTCAGCCAAGGCTCCACAGTGTCTTAAAAATGAAAAAAAAAAGTAAATAAATTAAAGACCTAATGGTGTATGTCATGATGCCTTAAACCTGTAATCCCAACGTTTGCCAGGTGGAAGCAGGGCCAGAGATGGCTCAGCACCTAATAGCACTTGTTGCTCTTCAATAGGACCAGGGTTTGGTTCGCAGCACCCACAAGGTAGCTCGCATATGTAACTCCAGGTCCAAGGAATTAGATGCATGTTCTGAAAATAGTTTTCAGGCAAAACACTCATACGCATAAAATAAATAAATCTAAAACATTTTGTTTTTGTTTTTGTTTTTCGAGACAGGGTGTCACTGTAGCTTTGGAGCCTGTCCTGGAACTAGCTCTTGTAAAACAGGCTGGCCTTGAACTCACAGAGATCAACCTGCCTTTGCCTCCCAAGTACTGGGATTAAAAGGCATGTGCCACTACCGCCCAGCTAAAGCAAATTATTTATTTATTTATTTATTTATTTATTTATTTATTTATTTATTTACTATGCATTCAATATTCTGTCTGTGTGTATACCTGCAGGCCAGAAGAGGGCACCAGACCCCATTACAGATGGTTGTGAGCCATCATGTTGGGAATTGAACTCAGGACCTTTGGAAGAGCAGGCAATGCTCTTAACCTCTGAGCCATCTCTCCAGCCCCCGCAATTTTTTTTTAATAAAATAAAAAGAATTCAAGGCCAGCCAGCAGTTTATGAGACTCCTGTCTCCACAAACAGCTGAGAGACCAGACTTGGTGGTGTGTGAACCTGCCCTTGGGAGGCTAAGGGAGGAGGGCAGACGGGGAGGGGCATGTCTTGTCAGTGTGTCGGTCAGTCATATATTAATTATGAAGACAGGCTAACGGAAGAGTCTGGTTCAAATGATCGCTCTTCCCCAGTGTCAATTCCAGACTTCATTCACTGAAGAAAACCTGTTGGCATTTTCTTTCCCTTTCTTCCTTGTTCAAGGTCACTTCTCTGATTCTGTTGCAGCTTGGCAGCCACCACTTCCAGGCAACCCAAACTCCAAGTGACAGAGTAGAAACAATGCCCTAGGCTCACTTGGCTTCTAGATAGTTTCATTCCTGAGAGAACGTTGAGCACTGAAGACACTCCACTTGGAGCTTGTTTTCTTCTTGGTAAAACTGGCCTTTGGGCAAAGAACTATCCTCTATCCCCAACCCTTAGTACCAAAGGTTGGATATTGTTATAATTCTCATATATCACTTCCTTCACAAGCCCTTACCACAGGCTGAAAACTCCCAAGTAAATTCTTCCCTTGAGCTAGATAGACAGAGATATGAAATCACTTTCTCACTACCTTTCCGGGAGATATCTGAGGTGAATATTTAATTCACCCTTAAACAGAACCTTGGGTTGGGATGTAGTTTAATGGTAGAGTACTTGTCTAGACTCTGTCAAGACCCGAGTTTGATCCCTGAGTTTTTCAAAAATGTTTGAAGGAAAAAAAAAGTTTTACTGGGGGGAAAAGTTTTGGAGGACTGTTGGAGAGCCATAGGCGAGGAAGGAGTGATACAATTCATACTTTAAACAAAGGACCTCGACTCCGCTGTAAAGAGCAAACTGGAGGGGTAGGAGCAGACCCAAGGAGAGTGATGTTGAGGTTTTAGCAAACTCTCAGCATCACTCACACTAAGCTGGTCACCGTGGTGAACAGGAGCCCGATCACAGGACTCTTTTGGAGGTGAAGCCAATGAAACCTGTTGACCGACTGCGTACAGGAGGTGATGTAAAGATAACAATGAGAGGCGGTCCCCATGCTTCCTGACTGAATACTGAGTGGTACAAAGTGCTGAACCTAGAGGAGGAACAGGAGGGATAATGTCAAATCTGTGTGACCTTAATCACAAATCTGTCCTATCAGATGTGGTGCCCTGCACCACTCAGCACTCAGGACCTAGGTAGGGTGACCACTAGTTCCGGGCCAGTCTGGGCTTGATAAGGAGACTCCTCTCTGAAGGTTTTGTTTTCAGATTTTATCTTTTTTATAAATTTTTAAAATATTTATTTATTTACTTATTATGTATACAATATTCTGTCTGTCTGTATGCCTGAAGGCCAGAAGAGGGCACCAGACCTCATTACAGATGGTTGTGGGCCACCATATGGTTGCTGGGAATTGAACTCAGGACCTTCAGAAGAACAGGCAATGCTCTTAACCACTGAGCCATCTCTCCAGCCCCTATAACTCCATTTTTACACAGGTTTTAGGAAGTGTGATGATTTTGAAGGACACATTTTAAATTTTTATTCATCAACATTATTGTTATTATTATTTAGTTTTTGGAAACAGAGTTCCACGTAGCCAAGGTTGACATTGAACATGAGCTCCTCTTGCCTCTGTCTCTCAAGTTCTGAAATTATGGTTACACGCCACTACACCTGGCTTTAGGGGAGATTTTGTATGTTTCTTTGCTTGTTTGCTTTTGTTTTTCAAGACAGGGTTTCTTTGTTTAGTCCTTGCTGTCCTGGAACTCAATTTGTAGACCAGGCTGGCCTCGAACTTAGAGATCCACCTGCCCCGAGTACTGATATTAAAGGTGTGCACCACCACCACCTGGCTAGGGCAGATTTAAATTATATTTTCAGGGCTAGCGAGGTAGCTCAGTCAATGGTGTGCCCTCTCTGTGAACACAAGAGCTTAAGCTACATGCTCAAGCTCAGTGCTGAGAAGGCAGGGATGGAATTTAAACAAGCCAGTGGGGCTATACTACTTGGTGAGTTCCAAGCCAGAGACAATGTTTCAAACAGAAAAAGGACTGGGCAGTGGTGTCCAATGCCTTCAATCCTAGCATTCGGCACAAGAAGCAGGCAGATTTCTGTGAGTTCAAGGCCAGACTCCACAGAACGAGCTCCAGGACAGCTAGGATTGTTACACAGAACAACTAAGTCTTGAAAAACCAAAAACCAAACAAACAAACACACCTGAAAGACGAAAGGTGCTTGGGGAGTGATCCTTGAACGTGTCCTCTAGCTTCCAGACACATGTGCACCCTCACACACAGGACCACATACAGAAAATAGAAATGATTTTAAAAGTACATTTTATTAGCCAGGTACATGCCTTTAACCCTAGCAGTGGGGAGGCAGAGGCAGGTGGAACTTTGTGAGTTCAAAGCCAGCTGAGGCAACATTGTGAGAGTCTATCCAAAACAAACACAACAAAGCATAAAAGTACATATTCTTTTCTTTGTCTTGTTACTGGCTGCCTGTTGTGTGTGTGTGTGTGTGTGTGTGTGTGTGAGAGAGAGAGAGAGAGAGAGAGAGAGAGAGAGAGAGAGAGAGAGAGAGAGAGAGAGAGCGCGCGAGAAGGAGAGAGCTCCCTGGTAGGATCCTTGGGTATCTCAGCAGGTGGCTGTCCTTCCGTTGTTCTCCAGCAATCCTCTGGACCCTCAGTCTGCCTCACACAAATCTCTCCCCTCCTTGTTGGGAGGAAAAGACCTTTAGCACACTGATTGTCTCTAGTCTATATATA